TGTTGAGGTGTGTGCGCGTCTGTTGCTGTATTAGTGTGTGTATGTGTGTTGCAGTGTCTATGTCGTGTTTGTGTGTCTCTGTGTGTGAGTGGGTGCACGTGTCTTTGTCTGTTTGTGTTCACACTATATGAGCAAATTGATTGTCGTGTACTGGTTGTACGGGACGAACATAGACCTCCTGAGTCCACTTTGCATTTGTACAAGCCAGAAGAAGGATATCAAGACAAGGGATACAACAAATGCCCTGGCAAGGCGGCACCTCTGATTGTCGCGTGCTCGATTTTGGTGCAAGTGAGAGGCGGTGGCTGAGTCCAAGACCATCATTTGGAACGGCCCCATGGGCGTCTTCGAGATGGCGAAGTTTGAGAGCGGCACTCTGGCAAAGCCGAAGGGTAAGCGACAACCCTTGAGACCAAGACATCGGAAGCAGTTTGCAACGACCTCAAGGTGGAAGAAACACTGATGCAAAAGGCCGTTTCCAGGGGATCCGTATTTCAGGTTGTTTCAGCCCATTGAAATCAAATGACCCGGCTTGTAGGTGGTGGTCGGCAGTCCCTGTCAGAACAGCTTTTTGGAGTGGATGCAGGCAAGGTCCTTTGGCTACCAGACGACTCTTGCGACATAAAACCGAATGAAACCTGAACCTGGTCCCTTACTATCCTTTTGTTCCTGCAGTGTGCCAGATGATGCAGCTTGTCCGTTGGGCATGGCAAAGTTTGGGGCTTGACAACTTGACAAGTCATTGTCGCATAGGACAGTGTTTCTTGCAAGAACATTAGGCTGGTCACTGGTCCTTCAGAGCCCTCTTATCCTTGCGCTGGATAGCGTTCTAAGATCAGTCCAGCGCAGAACCATGTCATGCAGCCTGTCAGCATAGATTGGTCCATGCCAATTGGAAGCCCTTTGTTGGCATTGTCGCGGCCCAAAACTCCCTGCCTTCAGACTCTGCAGCCCGTGCAATCCCTCAGCAATGGATCATGCTTTCATGACAGTGCAAGACTTTGATTGAATTCAGCATTTTTTTGGGCATCAGGCACCAAGAAGCTGATGGACGCCGTGGTGGAGGCCACTGGCAAGGGAGTGATCACCGTCATCGGCGGCGGGGACACCGCGACGGCCTGCAAGAAGTACGGCACGGAGGACAAGGCCTAGCACATAATGACATGCCGGCCAAATCGAATTGCGGAATTCCTTTCTGACTCCGAATTGTGGCAAGGGCCAAACGGCCAAACGGCCAAACAGCGAAACGTGTGAGTCGAGGTGACCCACTGCAGCACTGGCGGTGGTGCCTCTTTGGAGCTGCTCGAGGGTAAGGAGCTCCCAGGCGCACGGGCAGATGAGCAGCGCTCCGTCTAAGTAAGGAGCGATGGTGAGATTAGATCTGAGAAAGCCGGCAAGCCTGGGATTCCAACGAAGCTGTCAAGGCTGTTTCGAACATTTTGAAATTTCAGAATCGAACACTCAGCAAGTCAAGTGGCAAAGAAGTGAGCCCAGCTGATATGCTAAGCAACTGCTCTGAGAGCAAACCACCTAACCTTGAGCGACATGCCTCGGCAAAACGCACCACGGGCACATCGTCGGAATCCTGCTCAAGCTTGAAGAACTTAGAAGGGGTAGTATCAGGGTTTGCATGGGTTTGCACAATTTATCTTTGTTCGTTTTCTGACGTGAGGCTTTTTGCTGCGCTCAAATTTGCTGTGAGGGTACTTCAGTCACAGCATCTTAGAGCGCCGAAGCATGGGGGCAATTGTGGCAAGCCTTGATGAGTGAGTGACAGGACTCCGAATCGGTGATTTGATATGGCTTCCTTGAACATAGTGAGTACAAGCAATGCAGTGCAGAAAGCTTTCAATTGTTTGTAACTGGTCAATTGCCAGTGCGACTTGTTGCTTTGAGCTTTACAACGAGTGCGCAGTCAACAGACCGGCATGGCTTTGGCCGGCATTCGTCCGGCTACATTTAGCTCAGACCGGCATGGCTGTGCCAATTCTCTGTGTTTGTGCATGCGCTCGTATGGGTTTGTTTGTGTATGTGCGCGGATGTTTGGTGAGTGTTGCTTGTGCAAGATTGATTCTGTGGAAAGTCTTTCCAGCCTCGCTGGTGCGAGATGTGGCTTCAGCGCAGTTCACAGCCCTGCAGGTGTTGCAGCACTCAACGCGAAGTAGCTCGGCCCATCTTGGACCATCCAACTTCACGGAGCCGTGGAAAGGGTGCTGCACCAATGCTTCTGATTGCTGAAGGTCTCCAAGGGCTGACCACCCATTTGTGAATTTTGAATGGAACTTTGGCTAAGCACTGCCTCGTGTTCCTTGCAAGTTTGATTTATCTTGGCGCTGTTTGCAGACAGACTGCAGACAAATCAGCTTTAGATGCCATGCAGCCTGCTGTACCCTTCCTTCCGCTAACATGGAACCTGACTTGGGGGCGCTTGGGGATCCTGGAAGAACAGAAGAAGGGACGGTATGCGTGCATGTGCAACTTGTGTTCGTGTTTGAGTCAGTAGCTAGCAAATCATCTAATCGTCAGCGTACGCCGTACGGCAGGCTATATATCTGAGATTTGCCCTGTGGTAGCTCAAAAAGTCTAGAGACCCTTGAAGGAGAATGATGATTGGCTCGCATCGCACGGTCTTTCCATGGGTTTTCTTTGTTTGAGCAGGGACCGGTCTTGCAATCACCAACATTTTTTGAGCACCTGATGGCTTGTTGGTGTGGTGGGGATGCCCTTTAAGACACAACGGGCACGATTTGCACCCAGGGCATAACCGGCCACTGCTTGGCCATCCCAGGTAGTCGCGAAGGCCAGGCTGCAATGGGATTGCACCGAGTTGTCATGCAGGATATACTTGCAACGCAATCCTGTTCCACTTGAATTTACATTTTTTTGTTCTTGTGTGATGCCCTTCCAAGTTTGTGCTGTTTGAATTCCCTGGTTGCAAAAAGCATGTCCCAAAAAACGTGGGATTCCGCTTTGCAAAATAGGTGGCAAAGCAAAAGTGCCCTTCAAGCAACGACAAGCACCACTTGTCACACTTATTGGAGCGGCTCGAAAGATCGCCATGCAGAAAACGGCCCTTGAATGCGGGCTGGTGTTGGGGCAAGTTCTCGGGGATTGGGGATAGTCGTGAGCAGCTCTTTTTCTATGGGAGTCAGACAGTCAGGGGATTAACAGGGACATCAGAACACCTGGCACAAGTTGATGGGTGACCATATGTATATGTTGGCCTCGGCCCTGAAGGCAAGCGGCCGTGCGGCCATGGCTGCCTGAGCCCCTTTTTCCAAGTCCTTTTGCCAGCCACGCCCAACACTTTCAGCAGGTCGGCCATTGAGTCCCGTGAAATCACAGCAACATGACAGTGGACAACAAGAGCGCCCAGAGTCTTCCTGCAGCGGTTCCCCAGCCAAACGGTAATTTGCACATGAGTCACATGAGCAAGATGGGGTCGCGAGAATAATGCAGGGTTATATTTGTGCGTGTGTGTGTGTGTGTGTGTGTTTGCTGGTGAGGCATCGCTTTGCAGGAGCCACCAAGTTATCAACTGCCAAACCACAAAGTCATGTTTGGCAACCATGAATTTGTCTATGACCCTGCAGATAGCAAAAGGCAAAGCACATCCGGCTAAATTTTGTTCAGCTGACGGATAATGATGCATTACAGTAGACCCATGTTGAAAGTGTCAAGCGAGGGATTGTGATACCGAGCTCGGCATTCAAGACGGGGCCAGGCAATGGCGCGCAAGCAGACTTCAGTGCATATTCTCCAATACATGTCAGAATATGCTTAATTCGCTATGTCCTGTCCTTCCGAACTGTGACGTTTGGCGAGCCCAAGCACTTACATGAGCTTATCCTTGCTTGGCCTCAGCTTGTTTGGCACAGGAAAGTGGGCCAATTGTTTGGGGCGGAGAGACTTGGGGAGACATGCCATGGCGAATGACATTTGCACAATTCGAGTCTGGCGCCATTGTTAGGCCGCCGGCCATGAATTTCTGACTCCCATCCTTTTCTTGGTGCCCAACCCCCACGAATCCAGTATGCCAGGTGCGCGCAGAATTTGGTTTGGTGACTTTTTTGCACAAGCACATTGTGGGCTTTTGGGCGCTGAGCGTGATGTCACCACCCACCGCATATCGGTTTGTGGTCAACAAAGACGGGCCCCGAAGATCCGGGCTGTGCCCAAGAGGCATTCCCGGAGAGGATCTGTTAGAAACAAGCGACATCTCCCTGCGCGCAGAGTCTCCGTCAATCGGGCTGCAAAGTTGTCAAGCGCTGACTCACATCCCCTGCTTCCGTTGTCTTTGTTGGGTTGCTTGCTTTGAACAACTCAATTACACGTCGAATTGTTTTGCCGAAGAAAGTTTCGCTCCAGCGTTCTTACAAAGACTGAAGTCTTCTAAACCAGTGTCTGAAGATGTGCCAGGAAGAGAACCTGCGAAAGCGCTCCGCTGTGCTCCTAAGGAGGCCATAAATAACTGGGGAAGGGGCAGTGAACATTGCAAGACGAGCGCATTACTCAACTGCCCTCCCTTGCCGCACGCAGGCCCAGACCACTCTGAGCAAAGGTTCCTTCACCAGGGGCTGTTCGTAATGCACTAGACATCCAGGGTGATGGGTGCAAGGGAGTGGAGGAGGTGTCTACTACTGGCCGCTCGAATTGGCAGAATATTGAGTAAGTATGCAGTTTACCCCTTGTTAGTGAAGCACTGCCCCTGAGATGGAGTGGTTTCTAAGACCTTGAATTACGCTATTCAAGCCGCAACTTGCAGCAAGGCCTTTTTTTCGGGGAAAGACTGCAGCCTCCGTCTCTGTTGACCCACACCTTGAAGGATCCTTGGGCTGCTTGAGATGTGCTGAGTCAACTAGCTACAGTTTTGGGGCTCCAGACGACCAGACTATAGTAGTCCATGTATGCAACCATTGGTGGCAAGCGCCAGCCCTTGGCCGAAACGCGCCATGGGGGCTGCGCTGGGCGCCCGGCTGACGATCCTCGTGGGAGCTGTCGCGGAAGAAGCGCGCGGGGCCCAGCGAGCGAGAGCGAGCCGTTCTATTTGGCGCCATCGGTCATCTTGGAATCGGACTTGATCATACGTCAGCAAAAACGTGATGATCACATAGCGATTCAGTGTTCGGCCATTGCTTGACACATGTTTGACATCAGTAGACTCCGATAGACTTCTCAACATTCATTGTTTCTGCGCTGACATGCTCATTTTGCCAACATGCAGCTGTGCAAGCAGCTGACTTTTGCCACGAATAAACGTTCGCAGACTGATATCATAACCGTTTTGTTTGTGAACCCTCCGCAGCCGCTTAATAGTTACTGTATGCGGTTGTCGCGCACGTCTCTGAAGCATGACATGGCAAAGCAATCATGCAAGGCTTGATGAAAAGAAACACTAAACACGCGAATGAAAGGCTAGCGAGTTTTGCTGGGAATCGATATCACATATTCTGCAAGCCATTCTGCCGAGTTCTGTATGCCCCGTCCAAGCTTGTAGCACAGTGACACTGACATTAGAGTGAGCTGATGGATCCTCAGGTACTTCCTGGGTCAGCGAGAGGCATGCAGCAGCGCGGGAAACCGTTCGGGCTGCATCAGAGGGATGCTTAGACAAACCCGTTCATTAGGATGTTCAAATTATGTTATCATGTGTTTTAGTAGTATAATCATTACTAATTTCAGTATTATCATCAGTGTTTATAGTATAAGTATGATGATCATTATCAGCATTCATATCATCATTGTTATTATCATTGTTAGCAGCATCATTATTGTTATGATGAGTCATTGTTGTTACTACTGTTATTACTGTACTAATACAATTTCTATTGTTACTAGTACTATTGCTATTGTTATTATGTGTTATTATACATAACAGTATTGCTTAATGTGGCACCAACTATGAGTTGGATAGCGAACCGACTGGCACATGCCACATGCGCTAGCTGCTTGCGTGCGTGCGCTGAAACCGAAGATAGATAGATACACATGTATCATGTATGTAGAGAGAGAGAGAGAGATGTGCTTGTGTCACCCGAAATCTCAAGGAAGTTGGGGCTCCTGTCAGATGGGACCTTCAGTCATTCCCTGGGTTTGGGCAACGGCCTTCAATCCTACCCGTTCGGGCGGCACCAGGGGGCGCTGCACTGCCTGGGCAGCTGCCAGCAGTGCCACCAGTCGCTGCAGCTGCTGCCGCGGAGGCGCCTTGAGGTGCCTATGAGCGGGTGGCAGGGGCCCCGTGACCCCCACCCCTACTCCCCCTGCAATTGATTTGACACGGTTTGGGGAGGGGGGGGGGCTGGGTAATTTTCAGACTTGAGCCCAAAGAGGTTGGTCCAGAACTGACACTTGGAATGCATGAATAGGACGTAATCATGCTTGGTCATTGGCTTGGAGGCTGATCAGGATGCTGTGCAGGCTTGATAGCTTGATGACCTCTATGCCATTGATGACTTCTGTGCCCGTATGTTATGGGCCTCGCGCCTAGTCTACGATCGCCTAGCTTACATACGCGGGTCATGGAAATGAAATTGTCATCTCGATTTGGCCAGGCCGCCCAGCACCACACTGAGCTGGCGGTGACTCGGCTTCAAGATGTGGAGGCCTGGCTGGCGGCGCCGGAGGCGCGACTCCGGGGTTGACGTCCACTGGCTTCAGACTATCTTGCGAGAGGGCGATTTCCAGGGATGGTCATTCAAACTTCAAGGATTCTCACATCATGTTCAGGGCTCATGCAAGTTTTGGTCGTGGCAGAAATAGATGGCCTTTCCTCGACTTCTACTAGACTACTGTAGGAGCCAGCTGCCGGGTCCCTCGTTGAAGCTGGCTGCATATGGGCTGCCCTAGGTTGCATATGTGACAACATCTTCATTGGGAGAGATGCATGTGTGCAAGCCAGAACACTTGCCTGAAAGCTTGTTGTGACATGAACCGGTAAGTGTGGTCATCCTATTGCATCGAGCTACCAAGAATCTGTGGCCGTTGCCAGGTGTGTGACCTCCTTCTGATGTTCCCTGTGGACATGCGCCGCGAGGTGAGGGCATTGAGGTTGATTGCTCAGGTCCTGACGGATGAGTCAATTCGATATCCACTTCCCACTGCACTCTAAATGCAAATGCTGCTCCAATCCTGCCGCTCTATGCTATGAGAGTCCCTCAAAATCTTGCGGCATACCAGTTGGGTATGGAGCCGCATGCAGGCATGGAGCCTGGCCGCCATGCCAGCAGAGGATTACCTGGCCTTCCGGGGCGCGGGCCAGGACAAGAGTGAGAAGCGCAACACATCGCTGGCTCCCATCATTACCCACCATGTTGGCTGCATGGGACGTTGTTGTTTGTCTGTTTTTTTTTTGTTGGGGGGGGAGGGGGTGGGGCATTGGGAAGATTTCTCGCCTTGTTTGTCTCAAGACTATGCGCTTGCTTTTGGTGCTGGTTCGGATTCAATCTAAGGAATGCGAGGCTTAGCTCATTTTTTGTCAGCGCCTTGCAATCAGAACTTTGCGACTGGCAGTTAGATTCTTGCAATGTAATGTATTGTTGGCCAAGCGCTGCCGTTTGCGTTTTGCTCCCCACAGCAAGCTGGCCATATTGCAGCGCTGTGCCAGGACATGCAACGAACCGTGGAGTATTGCCAAGCTCTGCAGCTGATGTCTGTGTTTGCCTGGCAAGGTGCAGCAACATGCTTGATTTGAGCAGAAGCTAGTACTTCTGGGTTGAGTCAGTTGGGACCTGTTTTGCCAGACCTGTTTTGCCAGACATGTTTTGCCAGACATGTAGCAGGATCTGGCCATGAGTTTCTGACGATTTGCTGCGAGGGATACTGTAGTGCCTATCCACCTGATTCGCGTGGCGGTCTTTGCGCAGGTTTGAGGTCATGGGAAGTGACAGGCCCCCGAATGTGCAAACCGCTGCCACCTGTAGGTGCAGTACGTGCTCCTCAGATGTGTGGGCAGGCCGGGGGTGTCTGCGCTAACCCAGAAACGGTCTTGGCAACTGGCGTCCATGTCTGGTCCAATGGCAGATATAGTTTGGCGTGTCAGGGGACGACAGTTACACTCAAAACAGTCCTCAAGGTTTATCGAGGTCTCTAAGGTTTATCAAGGAGAAGTCAATTCGGGATTGGATATGATACGGCCACGCAATAGTGGTCCATCAAGAGGACTGAACTTGTTTGGGACATCGCGCACAGGATTCGGATTGCCTTTCAACTGCCCGAGACACAGCGTTTGCTGTGCTGGCACGACGCTGGAAGGACTGACCATGTTCTTGCTGTTTGCCACGGATGCAATCAGGCACGATCAGAATCGGAAGTATTTCATGCCCATACAGCTTTCATGCATCACTTGCACACCCACAGCCCAGCCACTTTGGGGTTTGGGTTGCACTAGCCAAAGGCCAAAATCTACTGCGCCCAAAATCTACTGCGCTCAAAATCTGCCGGGAGTCGACAGCCATATAGCAGGACCTGCGCGGTCCCGAGGCTCCCCCGGCCCCGTGGGCAGAGGTAGCTTTAGGCCGGAATAGCACAGCGCAGCTGCTGCAGCAGCTGCTGTCTCTGGCAGAGGAAGCGTGGCAGGCGGGATTGCTCAAGATTCTGAGTGGATTGCAAGAGCGAATCTCGCATAGAGTCAAGTCATCAAGTTGAAAATGATTAGCCACGCATGCGCGCACTTTACGGAAGCTGCAGCTAAGCTGCCGAAGCGCACGGTCGCCCTCGCGTCCGGCGCGCTTCCACGGTTTCTCGCTCTGCTCGTTTGCCGTGTTTGCGGTTTTGGTGTTTTTGCAGTTTTCGCGCTTTCAAGTTGTTATTTCTCCATTTTTGTGTTTTCGCTTTTTTTTTGCGGCGTTTTCGCTTTTTGAAGTTAAAGTCTTTCCTGGATGTTAACCCACTCTGCCACTCCAGTTCCTGATCGTCATGCGGGCATCAGTACTTCCAGTGAAACCCGCTCGGAAGCACGGGAAAGTGCGAAGATTGGCCGAAATGATGTTGTAATATCCTTAGCCCTGAATTAGGAGTGTACTTGAGGAACGGGCGGTGGCAAATGAGAAAGGTCGCTTCAACTCAGGTGAAGGGCCCTTCTGGTTGGGAGTTCGTGGCAATCAACTTGTTGCCCGAAATAATTGTGCATGTCCCCTTTGTTTGGGACGCCGTGCGAGCTGCAGAATCACGTAAATGTGTTACAATGTTGCCTTCTTTGCCTGAGATGCATGATTGGGGACGGCAGGTTGGTGTCATGACTTATGCATTTGCTTTGAAGGCATGTTCCTTGCCAGATCTTGGCTGAAGTCCCTCGGACCTAAGCCTTTCACATACCCTGCCCGCCCTGATACCCTTGCTTGTAGCTGGGCGCTGTTGCACCCATGAGATGCAGGCAAGGTGGATTTGTCAGGCCACGGGCCTCCCACAAACCCAAGTGGCTCACTCCTTCCGCAAGGTGTCTGCAAGACCAATTTTGTTTTGCAGGGAAACCAATGCTATTTCAGCTTGCGGTCAGAGGATGCTGCTTCTTTTGCATTCAGCGTAGACAAGCGGTGGATTTGACACGTCGATCGAAAACCAACGCGGCGAACCACTCGTTGAAACAATTGACTTCCCAATTTGCACTCTTAGAATCTAGGGCAGTTGGATTGTGAAACAGACACGCACACGCACACGCACACACAAACACACAAACACACACACACGCACACACACACACACACACAGACGCACACACACACACACACACACACACACACACACACACACACACACACACACACACACACACACACACACACACACACACACACACACACACACACACACACACACACACACACACACACACATTGCACACATCGCAATGCACAACACAAGCGCACACACGACGCACGACGCATCGCACGCGCGCAGGCACGCGCGCACGCGACGCACGCACGCACACGCGACGCGACGCGCGACGCATCGCGCGCACGCACGCACGCGACGCCCGCCGACGCCGCGCGCACGCAAGCACCGCGACGCACGCACGCACCACGCACCGCGACGCACTCCGCACGCATTCAAGACGCACCCGCGACGCACCCGCGACGACGCACCCGCGCGCACCCGCGCGCACCCGCACTCCGCGCGCACCGCGCACGCGCACCGCGCGCACCGCACGCACCACCCGCACGCGACGCACGCACCCGCATGCACGCGCACGCACGCACGCACCCGCACGCACCGCACGCACCCGCACGCACCCGCACGCACCCACGCACGCGCCGCACGCCCGCACCACGCACACCCGCACGCACCCGCACACACACACTCACACACACACACACACACACACACACACACACACACACACGCACGCACGCACGCCCGCCCGCCCGCCCGCCCGCACGCACGCACGCACGCGCGCGCGCACACCTAGTGCATTTTCTGCAAATGTCCTCGCGTTGAAGATTTTACATGTTGCAGCTCTTGTGTGCCAGGCCCCTTCCTCAAGCGCAGCCGCCTGCCCTTAAATAGAGATCTGAGCCCTGATTTATGAAAGTTAACACATTGGTCTAGGGTTGGTTTGGGGTCGTTTTAGGGATTGGTTTCGGGTTGGTTTAAGGTTGGTGTAGGGTTGGTTTAGGGTCGGTTGAGGGTCGGTTGAGGGTCGGTTTGGGGTTTGGCTTGGGTTGTTTTAGGTTGGTTTAGGGTTGGTGTAGGGTTGGTCAGGACGGTTTAGGGTTTGGGGATGGTTTGGGTAGGTCTAGGGTTGGTTTAGGGTTGGTGCCGGGTTGCTTGAGGGTTGGTTTAGGGTTGGTTTGCCGTTTTTCTTTTCTTTTTTTGCGCTTCGCGTTTTCGGCGAAGACACCGTGGAAATCACACCCTCCACAGTAAGATGGAGTATGGGGGCGGTGTTACCACAGAGTTGTATACACGCCTATGAAGCCCAGAAGCCAGCGCCGCCTGCCCAACTCGAGGTTCCCCGACTTCATGTGCAGCAAGTGTTTTTCGACAAGGATGTTCGATCATTTGTTCTCCGTGCAAGTCTTACCAGGCCAAAGCCCAGGGCGAGGCATTGCGCTCCCTGGCGGATGGTGCTGCGGAGGCGGCGCTTGGAAACCTGGCCGTCCAGCTTGGCCGGAACGCACGGCTGGCGCCTGGAACAGGGACCAGTACTGGTTAGGGCTCTCTAGGGGATGTATATTGATGGGTTTTGGCTTCGGGTATTCCAGAAACTCCATTGTTGCGATTGAAAGATTCAACATCAGGTTTTGCTGTGATGTTCATAACTCTGACAGATGAGCTTGAGAGAGAGAGAGCCGAGGCCATGGAACATGCCCGCACCATTTGGGGCCTCAAGCAGCTCATGCTGGAGCTGTTTGAGGTGTATTTGGGCAGCAAGCACTCGACGTGGCCAGTTTGGTGAGATTTGGATAGCTGGGGAGCAGCATGGGTTTAGTGACTTGCTTCTGCAGGGGAATGGTCCAACGGAGTGGCACCATTTTGTGGGAAACTGGAGCGCCCTGAGAATTGTGGGTAGGTAGAAAGCAAAGCATCGACCGATGAATCTGGTCGGCTTGCCGGCTAGTCATGGCGGCCTTTGGCAGGTATCCGAATCTGCAGGGGCAAATGCCGAGCTTTCGCTTCCAGACGCGCTTCTACGGCAGGCGCCGGGTTGTTGCACATCAACTCAGAAGCATTTCCACGCGGCAAGCCTGCAGAGCAGGAAGGCAGTTCTGTCAAAGCGCTATTGCGCTTCCTGGCAGCTGCATCCACTTTGCAAGATGGCTTGACGCATGATCCGTCAAGCGATTCAAATGCTAGCTTCCCATTTGCGCACTCTCGAGGGACGCGGCAAGCAACAGATGGCCAGGCATTTCGATGTCCTCGAGGCTCTGCTCGACAGCCTGGACAAGGGACAGGAGTGTGCTGATCCATACGCTCGCGTTGTTTCTTGGATCAAAATTCGGTTGATGTTCGAGGTTTGTCAACTTGGAATCAAACACAGCATGTTTGATCGCCAGGGTAAAAATACTGAGGTGCTATCGTTTACCTTTTGAGCATATGTTGGGTGCCAACAAAGGCTGATGTTGGTGATTTGCTTGGCCTTGCAACGTTCAGCATAGTTTATTGATTCCCATCATTGCCTGGGACCTGGTGGTTGCTGTCAAGATGCTGATCACGCTGTTTGAAGTTGGGATTGTGTTTGCTACCGAGTTACCGATTAAGTTGCTTGATTTCAGCTGAGAAATATCCCGGTGTTTTCCATTTTGCTTGGACCCTTATAAGTAGCACTTTCGGTGGGACAGCAGGAGCCAATCATCGGCATGGTTTGCTACATTCCACTGCTGGCTACGAATTGAGTCGCTGATTGACAACTATGGCTGGGTAGCTAAATGCACTGGCTGAATTGCACCACGTGTAACTTGGCAGTTCACCGGTCCATTTGTCTCACTCCAGGAGCTGAGAATGGCAGAACTGGGCGTGGCCTGTGGCCCCGTGGGTACCTGCCTCAGCGCTGGATGGATCCTAATGTATATTGTCAGAGAGATGTATTCAAGATCTGTGTTGCGTTCAAAACCCCGATGAAAGAATTGATTAGGTGTTGTCCTGCAAGTTGCTGCGCGAAAGGAGAACACAGGGCATCGCAGGGCCGCGAAAGCTTCGCCAAAGGGACGCGAGGAGTCGTGTTCGCGAAAGGTTGCGAATGGCCGATGTTGAACACGGGTTGCTTGCTGAATCATCCGCGAAAGCTCCGCGAAAGGGTTTCTTGCCCCAAAGTGCTCCGCGAAAGGAAAACTGAGGAGTGCGCAAAATTCGCGAAAGGCCGCGAAAGGGTTCGCCCCGGCAAACATGGAATATAACATCGTGGAACCCAGGTTTTGACTGTGGGGCACCAATTTCTTGGTTAGTTTGTTTAAAAGTTAGGTCGGCGTCTTGATAATATCCTGAGTACCATCACGTTTGGGTGGGGAGATCCCTATATGAATTATGAGTACTGTTGAGGGCCAAAGTCTCCAAAGCACCGTGCCAAATGCATGCTGAATCGACGTGGGCTGGTATGAATAATACAGCGAGAATCAAGCTGCTTTGATTAAGGTTGTGCCGAATGCTGTCGACTTTCTGTAAGTGTGGTGCCCCTGATGAGGTCGTGCATGCGCGTGCGACCTTTTGTCCTGATTCAAGGGACCCTTCAGGTTGATGTTTGTTGTCAAAGTCAGTCAATGGTTCTCTCTCGAGGTTTGCACCTTTTGGCGCGCTTCCCCCAGTTGCGCTACTTTGGGGCAGATCCTACGATCAAGGAGGAGGTCAGAGACGCCTACAAGCTGCCCAGCGGAAATGGGGACATTATGTGAGAGGGTTGGGCAACACGTTTGTTTGCTGTTCATGCTGTTTGCATACTGTTTCTTCGGGCAAAACATGGCAAATGCCTGCTTCATTCGGCAAGAGCAGCATGCATCAACATCAAAGCAGCCTCAGTGATGTGTCATTTTCAAGCAAACATGAAACGGCGTACTAGGGAGCTGCAAGCATTAGCGGGGCCAGTCAAGGTCCCGCCCGTTGACACTTGCCCGCTTGCCTGGGCACATTGCAAGCCTTACCCATAGGATGCCGCTGGTTCTTCGTGAGCCTCCATGTGACATCCTCACACACCACTGGCCGGGTGTGGGGCGCATCAGTGGGGGTTGCCTTCCATAGGTACGGGCACCCTTGAGGCCAACGCGTGTGGGTCACACGTATGACAGCAGGACTTTGAGCTAACGTGCTTGCTGGGGGTGCTTCCGCTGTCCGACTCGGACTGCTGATGCAGTCGTGCATCAGAAAATGGCACACTGATGGTGTAGGGGAGGCCTTACAGACAGCAAAGAGTCAAGACTGCCACGTTCTGTGCCGAGTTGGCGGAATTTCAACTTCACCCTACCCATACAAGTCACCGCCCCGGGCATCCGTGACTTCTACACACCGCTGGCCGGGTGTGGGGGATTTCCTGGCGTGGCGCTCTCACCCTTGAGGCCAACATGCTTTCGAGGCACGCAGATGACAGCAGGGTGCATGGGCTAACGCGCCTGCTGGGGGTGAAACGGACTGTGAATACGGCTGATGCAGATCCTTCCTATGGTCAGGTTGCCATCGTGTGAATGCAGGGCAACATCAGCCGCCACGTCGAGGAAGTAGGGCAGGCCGCCATGACCACATAAAATTCAAAGTAGCCAGGGCACTTGCTGTGGCGAAGGCGCAACTGGCTTGTTCTGTTGCGGAGCATCAGCTTGCGGGCGGCAGAAAGGCACAGAGGAGGGTCGCCGGTAAACCAACATAACCATGAACTAAGGCCCCGTCTGATGGTAGCTGTTGCATTACGTGAAAAATATGCAATATGCAAGGCCAAATGTAGTTACTCAGTCGGATCTACCGGGCATGTCATGTTCTGTGCCGAGTTGGTGGAATTTCAACTTCACCCTACCCATACAAGTCACCGCCCCGGGCATCCGTGACTTCTACACACCGCTGGCCGGGTGTGGGGGATTTCCTGGCGTGGCGCTCTCACCCTTGAGGCCAACATGCTTTCGAGGCAGGCAGATGACAGCAGGGTGCATGGGCTAACGCGCCTGCTGGGGGTGAAACGGACCGTGAATACGGCTGATGCAGATCCTTCCTATGGTTAGGTTGTTATCGTGTGAATGTAGGGCAACATCAGCCGCCACGTCGAGGAAGTAGGGGAGGCCGCCATTACTACATAAAATTCAAAGTAGCCAGGGCACTTGCTGTGGCGAAGGCGCAACTGGCTTTGTTGCGTACAGCAGCACCATTCAGTTGAGGCCTTATGCAGATCGAGCCCAGCTGTTCGCAAGCACCAGCGAGGAGATGCACAAACAGCTGCTTGGATATGATATATGCCTCCGAACCTTGCAAATCACCAGGTTGTGTTTGCTCGATGTTTGAAGCATGGTATAGTGGAAACAGAATTAAAAATATACAACATAATCATAATACATATTATTACTAAGAAAGAAAAGAAAGAAAGAAACGAAATAAACAAAGAAAGAAAGACAGAAAACAAGCAAAGGACGCTCCACCTGCCAACTCGACTGCGGCAGCCAACTCGGCTAAAAAAGGTGCGCGGGCATGGGGCAGAGGATGCTTTCTTCTCTTCCTACAGGCACATGTCCTTCTAGAAACTTTCGCCCTCCAGCTCTGCTCGAGTATACCTACTTGGAGTCCGAAAATAATACACACTGGTTTCCATGCTTGAGTTGGCAACAGCCATCAACAGAGGCAAACAACGCTGGAAACGTGAAGTAAGCATGCCAAAACCCCGGACATGTCCTGTGTTTCTGAAGAACATGATGATTTGTCTGCAGAATCAAGAACATTGTAACATGTACGTGGGGGTGCTGCCATGCCTTTCTCCTCGGCGTTCGACGGTTTCATCGCGCGTCCAGAATCTGTTTTCGGCCCAGTTCTCGACCAGAGCTTGGGTTGGGACGTTAGGCTGGGAGAATGCGTTTTCAGTTACTGAAAGATAGCGGGCTGCCAGACTGTTTTCTAGGAAGCAGTTTTGTTGTTCGTTCTCTACAAGCTCCCAAAGGATGAAAGTACTGTAAGTACCTGTGAATTGTGTGAGGTGGTGCGTGTTTTGGGGGAGGAGGGTGAGGGCACCATGGTATAATGTATATCACATATAATGTTTGAAGAACATGATAACCCCCCCCCCCAGCGCTTCTCTGTAACATCTCTCAATGCCGAAACTTGCGTACATTAGCAGTGCCTCCAGGCGGCGTTTTGGCAAATCTTGCATCCAATCAGGGCCCCAGATGTTGCCTTATTCCAGCAGACAGGTTGCGGCTAAAACCTAACAACACTAATATACAACCTTCTCGCTATCAAGAGCTAATTCAATCACTAGCCAGCTTGATTGTGCTGATAAATGCCTGGCAGCAGCCAATGATACCACTTGAGTTTGTTCAACTGATGATGGGAAGATCCTGAGTCAAGAACCTTGAACAAGTTTGGAAGCCAGCTAAGTCACTTTACCTGGTTCAATCAAGCAATTAGTTGAACTAGTCAGTTTGTTTCTCAGGGCAAGCCAATCAGACTAATTTGGCTAAAACTTGAATGGTCCGCGACTATTTAGGCGAATAAAGTGGTCGATTACGTCAACTTGAATTAGTCTGAAGAGGTTCTGAGCCGAACTACCCTTTTTGATTTGATCTCGGGGCCCTGGGTCCAGACTGGAGGGACTGGGTTGCTGAAATCAAATACCAACTGGAATCAGTCCATCTGGTTTTTGGGCGAAGTTGAACAATTTGAACGTTTGAACTAGCTATGTGTTGTTTTACAAAGGCTGCATTGTGCGGTTTTGTGCACTTTGCGATATACTGTTGGCTTCCTGAATGAAGTGTTGACATTCTATTTACATTCCCAAATGTGTTATGCAGTGGTTGCAGTGTGTGTGTGTGTGTGTGTGACTGTGATTTTTGAAAGGATTTGTAAGCACTTGCAAGTCCAGGGAAAAGTCAAGCCCGCATCAACAAGACGCCGTCGGTAGGATAGACATAGCGCGGGAGCGACCCCACAGTACGCCAGCAAACGTGCAGAAGGACCATACGGTAAATGCCGCCTCCTGCGCCAGTGAACATGAATGAAAACACTTGCACAGAGTGAAACACCGAAGCGACCATGTACTCCTCTATGACCGAAGAGCGGTAGCCTTGATACATCAAGCTGCAAAATCAAAACAACGCAAAATCGATTGTTTGATCAAATGTTTGGACGTAAGTTGCATGTGTTCGAGGGGCCGAGCGGGGGAGGAGCTTGAATATGGACATGCTTCTGACCCTAGCTGTTCACTATGCCTGCACGTGCCTAATCCGTCCTAAACAAATGACTTTGTGAGACCTACGCCGCTGAAACAACCCACATGAACATATCCATCAGGGGTACTCATATAATCTCAGACACATACAGCCTGCCCTTTCGCGATCCCAGGCTTGACGATGTCATGGACTTTGTCTTCATTGATGGCCCCCACACCTACGCCAATGTGCGTAACGACTTCTTAGCTAAATAACTTCGACCCGGTCCGAAATGAGACACGCGTAAGCCTGGACACTGAAACAGGCTTGCTAAGGAACCGTTTGCTACGGCAGCCGGCTTTTGCTATGGCAGCCGGCTTTTGCTTCGAGCCAAAAAAATGTGAAGGATCAACTATGTTTGTTCAAGACTACACGTACATATAAGGCTAGTTGCGCTGGCTCTCATCCTGAGGATCTTCATCTTTGGGAGGCTCGCGTGCGGCGAGGTGGCATTGTAGCTGGCCACGACTTTACCATCAGGCACTGCGCCCCGAGGGGAGACCGCTCTATTCATCGACTGGGGATCTGAGTTCCCATTGACCCATGAGAGGCCCTCACACCTATGGACCTATGGGCAAAGGCGCTGCAGTATTTTGCTTTCAAGCTTGGCTGTCAAGACACGAAACAGTTTGGACAGGGAGATGCTTTCCTTGTGAGCAGATGTGCACTTTGCACATGTCCGCTTTGACACAGACACTTGAACTGGAATATGCTCCCTTCAATCCAGCTTAGACGGGATTACTTGTCATGCCAGTCGTGCAATTCAGTGGGGCAAGCAATCATTGAAGCTGAGAGTTTTGCAACTATCAGCTTCTATTGGTGGTGGAAACCATGCAAAAGCCAAAGCTAGGCAATGCTGCTCAGGCGCAAGCTCCCAGATGAAATCTGCTGACAGCCACCAGTCTCCCATGCAATCCATGCTTCAACGAATCACAGCTTGGCGAATAGAACGGATGTTTTTTCTGAGGCCTTCACCGCCTTCTCGTGACACCTTCTCGCTTGCAGTGCATCTAGTTTTCCAAACGGATTCCTAGTCAGCAATCCTTAACTGGCGGTTTATTGCGGCGACGCAACCGCAAGGACACCTGTTAGAGTAGACCAGTCGTTTTCTTGCTTTTGGCGCGGTGCAACTAAATGATGTCGATGGCAGATCGTCATTCCAGATTCACAGTTGACACTTGTTGAGCCGACTGCCTGGTGACTGTGGACAGCTCCCGTGGGTTGGTCCGCTTTGATAGACCTATAGGCCTCTCATCTCTGCTTTTGCGCAGGCACCCGCCGCTGCTTTGGGCAGTGTCCGAGTACCGCATGACCCACGAAGCTTGATCTGCATGATTCAACGTTTGACTGTTGATTAATGTTGGTTTCAGTTAGGAGGGGGTCGCTTTTGTGATGGAATGGTGCACGTGCCAGTCGCAGGTGTCTGAAGGTTGTATAGCCAAGTTCTCATTTTGTTCCCATCAACGAGCAATGGCCGTGTTTGGGGGAGTTGTCACTTAATACAAATTGCGGTTTTTGTTCGGCTTTATATAAATAGGGGAGGCGAAAGCATTGCTCTTTGCCCACTCAGGATGGTCCTTATATCAATCTGGCAATGGATGGAGTTTGGTGGTGGCAAGTAGGTTGAAGCAACACAATTGTATTGAAATATTATCCATATATATATATATATAATATATATATATATATATATGGTACCCCTTTGCATGGACCTGGTTTGGTCGTGTTTTTTTCCGGTGTTTTGTGCCCATTTTGAGTCCTTGATGTGGCAAAATTGGGGGGCATAGAATATAGATACATACATTTTTGTACACATATATATATATATATGCATATGCAATATATATACATATGTAATATTGTTAATATGTGCCAATTGAAAGAGTGTGTATGTATTTTGGAGTAGTTGGATAATTTTGGAAATTATAAAAATATTTTAAAAATATTGGATTTTAGATATATATATTTTTGGAAATGTTGCGTCTTGGAATATATTATGTTAAAGGAAAAAGATAAATACATTATTTTAATATTTATTTATTTATGTTTAAGTGAATATATGATTTATTTGTGGTTATATAATTTGATTTTTATTTGTTTTTATAATTGTTGGATTTAAATTGAAAGGATAATATTGTTTGGAATAATATTTAATTTTGTGTTTAGTAATGATATATTTTTGAGGATTTAAAATTTGTTATGGTTGGTTATGGTTAAAAGTAGTTAGATAATTTTTTATGTGTTTTTGATAAAAATATATAATTATATGAAATCTATTAGATATTTATTTATAAATATGGGAGTGATTTTAAATGTTTTTATGAGATATTTAATGAGGTTTTGTGAAAGATTTGCGATGGAATTGTGAAAACATATTTATTTATGTTTTTTTGAAAATTTAGTTTATTTTTGTTGTTGATTTTTTTTTGTGTTGATAATATATTATATGTTTATTGATTTTGTGTTTGGTGAGGCTAGAATTTGATATTTTGTTTGGTTGATTAATGTTTTAAGTTTGGTTGAAGATATGGGGGTTGATTAAAAGATCTTTGTAAGGAATTATGTATTCGGTGATTATTCGTCTTGGTGCGAAAGATTGGCGATGAAATTCGTTAAAGAAATTTATTATTGATTGCTTGGTTTTGTTGGGATTGGTGTAAAATAATAATGTTTGCGAAAGATTTATGAAAGATTGGCGAAAGATTAGGAAGCTTGTTTTAAGGTTCCGCATATTATCGACAAACATAAATGGTAAGGGCGAATGATGACTGCTTGCATTTGACACTGTGTATTGTATGCAAGTGAATTACGGCTACCGTATTTGCAAATACATGGAGTCGTGAAAGATTCGCGAAAGATGTTTTTTCTCGTAAAGATTGTATTTTTCGGAATTAAGAAATATGGGTGGTTTTTCGCGAATTTCCCGTGAAAGATCCGCGAAAGCGGCTTCGATTGTAAGGGGGAGGGGCTTTTTGAGGTCCGCACTTGTTAGTATACTAATTTGGTACTGGAAAATTGCGACTTTAAGCTGGAGCTGCACGGCTTACGAAAGCTGCGTCTTTGTAGCCCGTGCGTGTTATATATTACCCTTGTGATGAAAATTATAACTTTATAACGGGAATTGGGGAATCGAATTTCGTGCATTACGTTAGTAGGGCACGACGATGAATCCACGAAAGATTCGCGAAAATATGTTGTTTATTCGCGAAGAATAGCCGTTTCGAGACAATGGCATGCATTTAGAACAACCACCATATATATATATATTGATATTAATTATTCCCATTTAATGGTTTGGATTATATTTAGGATTGCGAAATCCTGGATTTCTTATGTATTTTATAAGGTATAGGGGTTCGTATGGTTATATTTTGCTAAGTATATTTGGATATATTGTATTATTTTTGTTTTTCGTTCTTGGTTTCTTTGTTTCTCGGGTTGTTGGTGGTTTGGTTTTTTGATGATATATATTTAATATTAATTAAATCTTCGTTATTTGAAATAGTGTAGTTTCGAACATTATGAGGGGAACGGAGAAGAGATATATTTATATTTCGATTTAAATTAATATTTCTTTGAATATGATGGGGGGGTTACAATTTTTGATTTATCTCGAGTATTTAATTTTGCAAGAAAATATTATATATATATATAAATGGATGTTTTCGACTATGAAAAGGAAAATAACCCTTTTAATTTCCTCGATATTTTGAATATTTATTTATATTCTTTCTTGAATTATTATATCCCTATTTGAAATATCATGGTCCATCTTCGAATATCATTGAGGGGCGGATTTCCCCATTCCCCCAATCTATTCGATATTTTTTAGATTGTTTACAAAGATTTAATTCTTTCCATATTTGAATTATTATATTTTTTGATCATCGGGGGGGTCGTCCTCTCTCGCTACCCTTAGTTGAAATATATTTTTTACGAACATTATTAGGGGGAATTATCGTTTCCCCTAAACCCCCCCCCCCTCCCCGTTATTTTTTTTTTATAGGGAATGAAATGCCTTCCTATTTAAATCATCATTTTCTTAACCGTGTTAAAGCGTTAACATTTTTCATTTATTTGATTGCCTACAATTTGTCGATAATATTAGCCGGACATGCAGGGGATATTGCAAAAGATATTAGGGATGTTAATAGATTAGTATAAGATACATTAATTTCAAGAGAAAATGTTATAAAATACGATATATTTTTGGCCCGAACGAACAACGGCAAAAAACACAAACGAAAGAAATACGCATTCATTCTACAGACCCCAACCCCCATTCCGCTATGGACCTCCTTACGAATACTATAGGGGGATAGGGGGGCTCACACTTTGCATATTACCAATCTTCTATATCGATCCCATTCTTACGGGGTGGGAACCATGGACCCCACAAAAAGGCGGGGGCTTATACGGTTATATTGTGCTACATTCTATAGACCCTCTCCATTTTCATAGAGCAAGGGGTGGGAACTATGGACCCATGATGATTGGGGGGGGCTTATGTAATTCCATTATGCTACCTTCTCTATTGAAAAAGATTGTTTAAATAAAAATTCATTTTAATTAATTTAATTGGGAATTTTATTTTGAAATAATTTCGAAAATTCATTTGTTAAATTATATATATATAAGTATTATAAATTTTAAATCATTATTGATTGTTTATTAAATATTATTTATTTATTTCTTTAAAAAAGAATATGTGTTTAAATGATTCATTTGGACATAACATATTTATTATATATTATAGATTAGTATGTTTTATTTTATTACATAATATTTGTTTTTAATATTTTTGATTTTTTGTATTTGGAAAGATATTATATAATTCATATATAGTTGAATATAAATTATAATTTTTAAAATATATATTATAAAATATTAACAATAGTATTTTTGAAATCTTAATAAAAATAAGAATGTTAAATTAAATATGTATTTGATTGTATTTTGTTTTTGGTGGGATGTTAGTTATATATATATGTTTATTTGTAATTGAATTGTTTGTTTATATTTATGTTTTTGTGTTTGTTTGTGTGTTTGGGTGTGTGTTTTTTTGTTTATATCGGTTTTATTTTTGTTTATTGTTTTTGGGTTAAATTTAATGTGATTCATATATTTTATTACTTATAATTGGTTGCTTGTATTTAGTTTATTCGTAGTTTGTAATTGCCTTTGTGTATTTTTTATCGATTTTTATTTGTTTATTTATTTGTGTTAATTCATTTATTTGATTATTGTGTTGGTTGTTTGTGATTATTTGTTTTTTGTATTGGTTTGTTTTGTTGGGTGTTTATTGTTTTTGTATTTTAAGATTTTTTAGTTTTTGTTTTGTGTATGTTTTTTGATAGGTTATTGATTGGTTATGTAAATTTTATTAATTGTTTTGTTTTTTGTGTTATTTAATATAATTTGTATTTTATATTTATATATATATATATTATTTTAATTATATTAATTTTGTTAATAATTATTATGTCTATTATATATTTAAATATATAATATTTATAATATTTTATTTAGTCTCCCTTAAGTAAAATCCATTAGGTAATACCTCAAATAATACCCCTCATTAAAATATTATAAATATTTTAGGGAATAATATGTATTTTGAAATATATATTTTTTTTGAATATATTAAGCAAAAACTTCAAATTCGCAAATAATAGGATAACGACATAAATTTCTTTTTAGAATAATCGATTAATACCAAATGATTTCCAAAAACAATAGTATTCGATAAACACTCAATTTATTAGAATTAGCTATGGTTACTAGAATTTTATCAAAAAATTCCAATTATTAACAATAAACCTTATAATAACAAAATATATATTTATCAATTACCATAATTTAATATTCCTATATCTCTCATCTTAATTTTATTATTATTCCATTATATATTTTCAAAAACATAATATTTAAAATATATTAAAATATATTTATATTAAAATATAATTATAATAAAATGTCCTTAAAACAAAAAATAAATTATTATTTAAATTTAATATATATATTTATATTTGTAACCTTAATTAAATTTATAAATCAATATTATTTACAAAATTATATAAATATAATAATCAACATCAAATTAAATTCATTGTTTTCATATATCCTCAAATAAATTCAATTATTGTATATTCAAAAATTAGTCAATATTATTTATTTTTCAATTTTTAAATATTTCCAAATAACTATAAATTAAAACAATTCATGAATTTAAAACATATTATCTAAATTAAGTATATCATTTAATCACGACCGATTAAAATTCTATAAACTAAAAATATATAAATTTATAAGCATATATATAAATATATAATATTAAACACACAATTTCATTATAATATTAAAAATAAAACAGGACAGATTTCGTGGCAAGCGCAGCGCATCCCAGCCCTCTTCTGAGAACCCTGTGAATGAACATACAATTGTCAAGAGCATGCCGTTCTCAGAGAAAACAACAAAACAAAGGAACAATCTCCAGCAACAAGCCATTCCACTACAAGCAGAGCAATGATAAACGTGCCAACGTTGCTTTTTTTGCTCCTGTTTGGCCCGTATGCCTCTTCAGTTGCATGCTAGTGTATCCAGCTTTTCGTCAACATAAAGAGTGCATCAAACAAATAACCTTTTTATTTTTTGTAACAATCGGCGCTTAATCAAATCGAGCTGCCTAAAGATGCAAGCTTCAGCTAGCGGAGGTTTCTGGCACGGTCAGCTTCTCCTCACACAAAGCTTGCGGAGTTCATATCACTATTCTCAAGAATCGACGCGTGGGCAGCCAGGCCATTTGGACAAGCTGTCCTGCTCGGCAGGGTGCAAGCGCTTTCCTTTCGAATGACTCTTCGTCTTCCGCCGCTGCACCCATCCTGAGCTCCGCATACCTTCTTGGGAACCCCATCTTCCTGCCTTTGCGTGTGAAGGGGTGAATTTCTGAGGTTGGAGGGTGTCAACAAACAGCTCCGACTGCGGCCGCAACAGCAGTAAAGGCGGCGGCTGCTGCGGCAGCAGCAGCAGCAGCAACATCAACACAAATGTCATACATCCAGCGTTCTACTATCCCAAGCAACGGCCCAACCAGCAGAAAAACAAAAACAAAAACTTAGATGCACCCGGCCAACTCACGGCGTGCGTCACGCGGCAGCGATCTGCAGATCTGCATGGTTGTCCCTGTTCAGCCCTCAAATGTGCATCCACAACTAACAGCACCCTCACAGTACCATTGTGGCTGTCGGTGCCGGCAAGAAGCGGATAGCGTAGTCGGTTTCCTTCTCTTCAAGCCTTAGGAGAGGCGCAGGCGCATCTCAAGGCGAAGGGGCAGCAAGGCAGCAAGGCACACAGGTGCAAGCGCCCCGATAGGGACGAACCAAGGGTGGCCCAATTGATTTGGGCGCCTCGCTCCAAAGCGCACGGCCAAAGAACGTGCGCAAAATGATCAACTTACAATGTGCTCTCACATCAACATAGCATTATCTCCTCCCAACCTGGATGTTTGGCTTCCTTTTCCCAATTTGAAGCATTGCTGACCAAGGTGCTGAAACATTGAGAACGCGGCAGCCGTGGCTTTTTGCTTGCTTGCCTTTGTGCGAGTAGACCGAATGGAGTTGAACTGGGGCGGCAAAAGAACAATCCATTGATGTGTTTCGTTTTGGGCCCCTTGAAACCAAACCTTCAGTGGGCCCTGCATCCCCTTCTTGTGCAAGCAGTTTCGCTGCAAGGTGGCCAAGAACATGCCGGGCTGATCGCAATAAGAAATTGAGACCCACACAATTCAAGCTGCGACGAGTTTGGCTTGTGCTGCAAGCGTAGGCATCTCACATATATATTGCCACTTTCTTTTTCTGACTGAGGCATCCCCCTTGGCGATTTGCAACGGCCTGGCCCCACACACGTGAATACACACACACACACAATTGCACACAAACACACACGCACACACCCAATGCTTCAGCCGGGCCAAGCCAGCCAAAACCAGAGCTAGGGTGCTGGAGCTTGCTGAGAAGCAACTCCGCTGCGATGCTCCAGCCCCTGGTAGGAAACGATGTAGCTCCTTGTTGCCTTATGTCAAGGAAGCAGTGTGACGAGAAGAGAGGATGTCCAATGCCCCGCAAATCAAGCATGGTGAACATGTTCGGACATGGCCAGTTCTTGCTTTGGCGGCTGCTGCCTTTCACATGACTGCAGCTGAGCCTGACCCGTGAAATGGCATGTCGGCCTTGGGTTTGCGCCTTAGTGTTGTCAGCTGTCATGACATCGATGTCTTGGAGCGCCGAGAGCTTCCGCGGCTGCCTCAAACAAACGGGGGGCTCTTGGAGTTCTTGCGCGCGCCATTTTCTGTCTTGGCAGGTCTTGCCACACCCCAGTCGTCAATGCCAAGTGGCGGGGTTTGGCCGCGGAGGCCCAATAAGCACGAAATCAGAAGCAAGAAGCTTGAAATGGCAGAGCACAGTTGCGCTATCCTCCCTATCAGTGAGCTTAAAGGCGCTGGATTTGTTTGCTAACAAGAGCTGGGCGGAAGGTTCTAGAAAGGACATGTCATTGGGAAGAGAAAGAAAGCATCCCCTGCCCCGTGCCCGCGCGTCTTTTTGGTCGGGTTGGCAGGCGGAGCGTGCTTTGCTTTCTCTCGTTTTTCGTTCTTTCTTTCTTCATTCCCCAACAGCTGAAAGCTTTGGGGTCTCAGCCCAGATAGGCTCCGGGGTGGTCCGGGGCGGCCCTGAGGTAAGGATCCACGAGGGTTCCACCAGCGTTCCACGAGGTTCTGCGAGGGGTGCGGGGTGGTGCGAGCACTAAAAAGAGCACCGCGTGCGTTGGGCTGAGCTTATTTTGTTGTCTTTGTTTCAACTATGCCTTTTCTTTCTTTATTTCTTTCCTTCTCTCTATCTCTATCTGTGTCTTTCTCTCTTTCTCTTTCTCTTTCTCTCTTTCTTTCTTTCTTTCTTTCTTTCTTTCACCGTAGTCCACCTTGCGAAAGTGTTGCGCCTGCCACGAAGTCTGCACTTGACCTTGCATGGCTGCAAAATGCTGCGCCTGCCACGAAATTTGCACCTCAGGTTGCCAAAGTGCTGCGCCTGCCACGCGGTTTGCACCTCCGAAACTAAACTCCCTTTCGCAATCTATCATGTTCCTTTTTTTGTGCAAGTTTGTGCACCTGCGGCGCCTCACTTCAGTGAGGGTTTGCAGGCAAGCATGAGGGCGAAAAGCGATTTCAAAGAACAATGCGCAAAAATGCTGCAGAGTGCAAGCAATGCGCATAAGTTTTCAGAGCGGGGAACAAGACTGGAGAGGAGAGCGGGGCGCAGGGCGGAGAGAAAAGTGGGCAAAAGCGGCAAAAGAGCAGAGAGAACACTGCGAAGAGCTCGGCAGAAAGAAGCGCGGACCGAAGAGCTGGCAAAAAGAGCGGGGAGCAAAGCGCGGAGTGCAGCGAAGAGTGGGGAGGAGAGCAAAGAAAATCGTGGGCAAATTCGGAGGTGTCATAGAGGAAAAGGCATCTTCCGATTCAACTTTACAAATTTCTTGGTTGATGCGTCACAGAGTTGTGGGTTTGACTGATCCCACCACCTGCTAAAGCAAGAGAGCCTCCAGCTAGCAAGCTGGCCTTCGTCTATGCAACTGAATATGGTGGGACTGGCTTTCTCAACGTCCACATAGTGGATGCAACAAGCAGTGTTTGCAGGTTATCAAGGCCAAGTTTCTGAGCCAAGGTAACAATGCAACACCGCTGGCCCCCCTGCGCGGTCCGGCCCAGCCTAATGCTCTGTCGTTCATCCGCCTGCGCCACTGGTGCAGTGTACTTCCGGCCTTAGCAAATCAGAGGTTTATCAATGAATCAAGTGGATCTGGCTTGATGACATGGGAGCGGCGCGCGGTGGAAGGTCATGGCATGAATGGGACGGCTAGTTCAAAATGCTCGGCAGTGTGCTGGGATCAGCCGCTTGCAGGCTCTCCAGATGAGTGAGTTTGAGCAAATGCACTGGAAATCAGCCAATCTGGCAGGACACAACTATTTAACCAACAACTTTGTGTTTCCAGCCCCTACAAAAAAACAAACAGAACCAAACACAAAAAACATGCCAACAAACGTGAAAATAAGAGCTCTGCTTCGTTGCTGACTAACCGCCAGCCCCGCGCACAAGGCCATGCAATCTAACAAGGGAACCTCTCTCCTGACTCTCACCCTCACCAGAAAGCAGGCACACCAATGCCGAGCGTCGCATTGAAAACCCATGAAATGTCTTCAAATTCAGCTCGCCCGTGGCATAGCGCTCCAAATTCCGAAGCCATTCGTCCACAGACTCAGCACCTTCCAGCCCCCACTCATGGGAACAACACTACGGTTGTGCCCCCCTGCACCTTCTGTGCCCCAAACAGGTCGGCGACCCGAACCGAAACATACAGCATACTTAACTGGAATTCTTGCCGTGATAAGAATTAGAAAGGACCGAGGACGGAAGATTTGATGTGCCCAGCCCGCACCTTTCATAGCGCCCGCCGATTTGTAAATCTCCAAGGCCTCCATGGCTTTTTGCCTGGCAAGTCTCCAAACCTTGCTCTCTCAGTTTGAATGGCTTCGTTCCCACAGGCCCTAGCAGTGACCGAGAAGCGTCCTGTTTATTTTTCTGGACATCAGCACATTGAAACTCATTTTCTGCAACCTCATCACAGCATCTGTTAAAGAACATGAAAACAGCGCTTGCTTGACAATCTCTGCTTGTTATGCCTCTCAGAGGTCTCAAAGGCCCCCGCGCACCGAGGGAAACGTAGTACTCACCGGATTGGCAGCAAGTCGACAGCAGGTGCAACACTAGAAGAATTTGAACTCACATTGTTCCGTGCCTGCTGCGCTCGAAGTCCTTTGCTCCCAGAAAGGCTCCGGACTGCAAAAGCAGCGCCGTGGTCTCCAGGAGTGGCAGGTGAAGCGATTGGAAGAGATCCAGCGCCTCCTCAGAGCTTTTGACTCACGAGGCCTCAGAACGTGCCACCTGGCCACTTCCTCAGCATTTCTCATGACTCATGAAGGAAAGAGTCTACCAAGTGGTCAAGCGCTTTGCCAGCTCATTATTAAGGCTAGTAAGCTGGTCTTAACCTCGCTAATGGACCCCAAGCCTTACATGTTCTCAAAGCTTTGAGGGAACATCCATTGAAACGGTAATTCAGAAGCGTTAGGGAATATAACATACATATGTATATATAGATATGTATAGACTCCAAACGGACCCATCCTGCAAGAGCGCTTGTTGGTCTCTAGGGTGCAACTGAATGTTGGGAGCCATGACTATGTACGCGCATAAGTCGCGTTTTGTGCAATTTGCGGTATTGGCTTCGCACTTGCAGTCTCGCTCACCTAGCTCACCCCAGTGAAAAGCTACGCCGCACTGACGCACAAAATGACAGAACCAACCCTTTACACGTAGCACCGCAGCTCGGCTTGCCAAAGGCCACAATCTTCAGTCATCAACTTGACAGTTTGAGAGTTGCTTCACGCTGCAAGCCAAACAATGTCGCTCATCCCATCCTCTGCAGAGCGCAAAGCAGCGTCCCAGTCATGCAAGGCCAGGTTGATGTTGGCCAGACCTGTCAATCCACTAGTTCGCCATGTGCCTACTGCAAGCATCATTGCTCCCCTTGTTGCACCCACACACAGCTGCGCCGCGGCCAAGCAGCAGTGCAAACTGTAGCCCAGCTCCTTGGCTTGCACTGCTATACAACTATATGAAAGGGCCATGCCATGCTGCACCTTTAACTACCAAAGCATACTGCCACACAATGGAAGACGCAAATCAAACTGACTCCATCCTAACAGCTGGAACCGCCCAACTCATTTCTTTGACACAGTTCAAGCCTGTCCCGGAGGAAAAAGTACTGACTGGCGATGCAGGAGAAGGTAATCGCAAACTGAGAGCGACAAGTTGTAAACATGTCTGGGAAACCGTGAGTCCAAGCCATGGCCTCCCAACAAGCAACCTGCTTCATCAGGGCTTGCAACAGGTTGACACTCCCAGTTTGGCATCTGCAGTCCGTGGTTGGATTTGGAACTGCCTGGTTCTCTGGGGAAATCTATCTGGCGGTATCTCTCGGCAACAGGACCAGCAACGGCTCAACGTGTTTTCCAAGTCCAAGGCTCCACACTCCTGTCCTTGACATCTTGGAATAGAGAAACGGACTCCTAGCGGCAACATACATTGCAAACTCACCCTGGCAGAATCACTTCACCCGAAAGCTTGACAAGCGCAATGTGATTCACTTCTTAAACGTGGAAGCTGGCCAACGCAATTTCAACTTCCAGCCGACCGTTCCATGTCGTGCAAAGAAAGTCACAGCGCAACTCAACTGCGCTTCTCTTGATTTCCATCTCACCATGGTGTATGCGACCTTCATCACAGAATCCCATCCAGCGTCCCTTGATTTGCCTGACCTAGGCCGCAACCTTTCTCTCCTTAGCGGCACGCAATGCTTCTTCCAGGCTGCCGCCACCCTGCTCCAGGCCACACAAGGAGAACCTGGGCTCTGACAATTGCACAGGTCGGCCCCATCCACCATGATGCTCCTGAAGGGTTGGCAATAAATGCGGGCCCAACCATACTTTTGCTACAAAGAGATGTGACTGGTGCAGAAAGAGCAATGCTGGGGGAAGATTGGCAAAAAGCACGGTCCCATTGTGTCCTTGACAAGTGTGGTGAGGTGAGAAGCAGTCAAGAAGTGTGTTTGCGTCATGAGGATTGATACTATACTTTTTCAGGCGACGGGAACCATACAGTAGAGACTGTGACGCTGTGGGTGGCGGGCTGGGGCTGGGGCCTGAGGGACTAAACGAGCTGCAGTGAATGTAACAAGGACAGTCTTGGAGCTAAGCTCTCTAGGTGCCAGTCTGCCTCGAGCCAGGAGCCCACAGCCCCCTTCTCAGATTGCTAGTCTCTTCTGGTCATTGAGCTGGCTTCGACTCTGTTTGTTTCATGCTCGTCGTTTCAGTGGGAGCGAACAGTCCGGTGAATTCGCTCAGCTCGGCTTGCGACGGGCTGCTGGATCTCCGCCAGCAGCGCCGCCACCTGGGCTCGGCCCCGGCGGTCGCCGACCTGACGGAAGGCTGCGAGGCTCATCTCCGCCGCCGGCAGCGCCTCACGCCCGACTCGCCCAGTGCTTGAATTCGAAAGCACGTGGGCGCCTCAAAACCCGCAAATCGAAATGTCTCATGTGAAACTTGTGCCGACACCGATGGTCATGCAACCCTACACGAACACATCAACGCAAAGTGCAAACTACATGCATCAAAATGAGCACACATGCAAAGCAGGCTGTCAGCATGTGCCCAGAAACGTATGCTGCAGCATGTCAATCGCGTAGGTGAACAATTCCAACTTCTTTGATCCTCATTGCTTGTCTCAGTCTCCCCGAATGAACGTGCAAGCCAACCCCCGGCGCAAAGACGCAGACCGAATTGCGTGAGAAATCTGTGCCCGGCTGGCCTTCTTCAGGTCATTCCTTGGCAGCAAGCAAAAGGGCAAACATGGGCAAAGGCACACCAGGCACCCCCCTAATCACAAGCGTGTCATGGAAGCCAAAGCAGATTCCACCTGCAGTCATGCTGCTCCTTTGGGCACATTGCTTGCCAATCAGGCTCCATGAGTTTGCATGACCTCCCCGACAAATGCTGACGCAGTAATTACTGCAGTCGCGTTTCATCTTCAGCTGGTCTTGTGCTACTTGCATGTTTGGCCCTCACAAATGTGCCAAGCAAGTTGCAACCCTTCCGTCCGGCAGTCTGGCAGGGCACGGCTCCACCACTTGAAGACTATTGAGGTAGACACACACACACACACACACACACACACACACACACACACACACACACACACACACACACACACCTCCACACCTCCACACCCCCACACCCCACACACGCACACGCACACGCACACACGCACGCACGCACGCGCACACGCACACGCACACGCACACGCACACGCACACGCACACGCACACGCACACGCACACGCACACGCACACGCACACGCACACGCACACGCACACGCACACGCACACGCACACACGCACACGCACACGCACACACACACACACACGCACACACGCACACACACACACACACACACACACACACACACACACACACACACACACACACACACACACACACACACACACACACACACACACACACACACACACACACACACACACACACACACACACACACACACACACACACGCACACGCACACGCACACGCACACGCACACGCACACGCACACGCACACGCAAGATCTTGGCAGCCTTGGCACTTCAAAGGTGTGAAACAAATGCTCAACTTTTATGCTCGTTTGTGCAAGCACCCTTTGCTGGGAGTTCCGGAATCAAACAAAATGTGCACGCCCCTAACCAAAGACCAACACTGTCCGAACGAGTTGTTTTCAACACTTTGGAACGACTTAGGAACGTAGTGCTCTTAAAACACGGCAAGGTTTCCGTCATTGGTCAAGCTAGGGTATCGGTCGTAAAGTGAATACGCCGCAGCACAGCAAAGGTTTACGTGCACAAAAGCCAAGGGAGCAATGATTCAAATACAAATTTAATCTCAAAGATCTGCAAGTACATTGGACGAGGCAGCCCCAATGCATATGCAAACTGCGCCAAAACGACCCTCATGTATTCCTACCGCGCTGCCTCGCAAGCAATGAGCAGGGCATATCGCTTGCACGCCATCTGTTTTAAACGCATAGGCCGGCCATTCCCGCAAAGCTATGTGCCACGCCCTTCCTCCATTGCAAGCCAGCTTTTGCCTAGATGCATGCTAGTCAAGCGTAGCTATGCTTTAGGCTCTGGTGAGCTTCATCCACTTTGTTGGAGGGCGTCATTGCTGGAGCCTGTTAAAACGGACCGCCCTGCTTTTTTGCAGCAGACTGAATGTTTTCTCCAAAGCATCTGCAGCGGCGTGAGGAAAGGCTGAAACTTACCCCAAATGCACATGCAAGCAGCCACCCTGCAGGCCAGTTGCTTTTCCAAGTGGATCCTGGCGCTCAGCTGCCAGGCCTGCCCCAAAAGAACGTGGGGACAGCCCCAGTCCCTGGAAGTCTCAAGTCTGTCGCAATGGGTTTGTAAGCCGGCAGCGGGAAAGCGCGCAAAACGAGGAGGCAAGACTAGCAGCCAGCCGGCCAGCCGGCCAGGAAGCAAGCCAGTATCAACTCACAACTGGCTCAACAAAGCGCACGGGCCGAAATATGAACCATGTGCTCCACGCTTGCTTGCACGCCCGCTTGCCAGCCTGCCCGCCTTTACTTGCCTTACTTGCCCGCCAGTGTCTTGCGTTGCCTTGCCTACCTTGCCTGCGTTAGTAACGCTGCTTTGCGTTGTTGCTTGGCGTCATGTTGCTTGTTGCTTGCTTGCCTTTCTGTCTGCCTTCCTGCCAGGGTACAGTTGGAGCCGGTTTGGTCAATCTTGAAACACAAGCCAAAGTATGGATTCACAAACAACAGTCGTCTGAATATGCTGGACAGGGTATTCGGCGCGATCCTGCCTGTGTGCAATTTAGCAACCGAGCAAAAACAATTGCAAGGTAAGGCAACGTGGGCAAGGCAGGGCAAAGCCGCACATAAGCTAACATAAGCTAACAAACTACAGACTGATGAACAGGCGCGTAGACAAACAGGCATCAGGCAAGCAAACAGGCAGGCAGGCAGTCAAGCAAGCTTGCCCGTACGCAGGCACAGGCAGGCATAGACCAGCAAGACAGGCAAAGGCAAAGCAAACATTACACCACAACAACACACGCAAACATACCCCTTGTCCCTTCCATCCACCTACCCAGATCACACACATACTGACGGGATTGTGGTTCGCAAGCCTGGGTCGCTTTGGCCTTGTCCTGCCTGAGCCTCGCACTGGCGGTCCCTGCTCTCCAAGAGCAAAGGCGCTGCAAGTGCCAAGCGGCCCAGGGCCTCCTCAGAGCCTTTGGCCTGGCTACGCAGCTCATGCGGTGAGAGCTCGTGAGTACCGGCTTTGTGGACGCATGACCGAAGGCACAGCACCGTGGGCCATCTGCTGCCAAGTCACTTGCAGCAGCTGGGCCATCATGAAAAGCCTGAGCTGTCATGGCATCTCGGAAAAGGGACTGTTTGCTCCGTTCGCTCTTCAGCCAGGTCCCCTCCCCAACTCACCACTGGCATATGATAACATATGGCTCGAGGCAGGATCAAGGCCCAACAAATGCTGAGGAAGTGACGCACGCCCTTCTCCTTGCTTATCTTTTGCAGAGCGAAATTGACGTAGCTGCTCCTGCAAAAGCCCAGCCAGCAACAGCAACTTGCCTGTTTGCACATTGCTTCAAACATGAGTACCCCGCGGATTCATTTGAGGGCACGCTCCAGCACAAAAAACAACAACTAGCACATTAATATCTGTTTCCTATTGCAGCCTATAAGTCCCACAAACCCTCCAACAACATCCAACAACAACTTGTGGACCTTGAGAGTTCGCCGTCAGGGCCCAACATTGCGGATAAAGCAGCCACACGGGGTCCTATTCCCATCTACGTGCAAAACCGAGGGTGGCTTTGCGTCATTGCCATGGTTGCCGCTGGCTGGGTGCCGCGAGCGCCAAATGGAGAAGCCTGCAGAACCTCCGACAGGCTTCAACAAGCTTCAGAAAAAAACGAAAAATAAACAAAACTTGAAACTCCCTTGCAAGCACCCAAGTGGCTCGTCCAAAGCCTGCCGCAACCCGGCGAAAGAATGGCTCCTCAAGAAACTGCAAAGCCTCAGCAAAGCTGCCCAGCTGCGCCAGTGCAAGCGCCTATGCGAAGGCGACAACCTTCCAATTAGACATGCCTCGAAGCAATGAGAGACTATGGAAGTCTGCCAGCAAAAAACGGCACTGTAAGTACTGTATATACATGTTTGCCTTCATCAGCTCCAACAAACACAGGGAAACCCCCAAAGTTGCACCCAGAATGCAAACGGAAGTCTGCCCAGCATGGAGCTCAGCCCATGCCAAATGGCAAAAAGCTGGTTTGCTGCACATGTCAGTAGGCTCTTTTTTCTGAAAATTCCAAGAGTGAGAAAATGCCAGACAAGCCCCAATTGTTGGTATCAGCTCCACTTTTGGAGCCCTAAACGTACCAGTGAAATGCTGAAACAATGTGATTCATCACGTTTTCCTTTGGAAAGTGTTGGTGCGCTGCCCTTTGGAAAGCGAAAGTGCCTGTGGCGTTTCATGCGGGCTTCATTGTGCAGGTCCGGTTTTCACTGTTTTCCTAGCAGTGTTGGGCATGCTGCGTTTCATGCGGCTGCGAATCCAACATGAAGCCTTCTGATAACCCCTGCCAAGGAGGTTGTAGGTTCTACTAAGCTTCTTAGCTTGTGGGGTTGGGGGGTGTTTCCGCTACATGCTGCGGTCCAATGGGGATTGCGTGTGCGCAGGCTTGGCTTTGCAAGAAGTGCTTCATGTTGCGCTCCTTCGCGATTGTTTGTGCGCAGCGCAGGATTGGTTCTGCATGAATCGTCTCATGCTTTGTTGCGTGAAGCCTTGCAATGCTGACATGGGCGCATTCCACGTGGGGGAAACTAAGTGGAAGTTTGTTGCGTGCAACCTCCATGGCGCGAATTCGCAACTTGGATTCCCCAGTAACTCGAACAATCAGCCTCAGCGCATCTCAGCGCGTCAAAGTTAGGGGGTTGCAAGTCCGCACCGTTCCCAAAACCCAGAGCATGCGCACTCAAATTTGGCGTGTGGGATGCTTAGTAGGGGTGAACATGGCATATTTTCAGCTGTCATCCCGTCATCTCCCTCCAGTTGTTCTGCCGCAGCAGCATGGTTAGGGCCACGCCTGGGTGTTGATGCAAGTCAACAGAATTTCGCGGCCAACCTCGGCGTCAGGCAACGCGCACGACGCCTGAGAACATGGAACCTATCAGACCAGGTACACCTCAGTTGGAACTGTGCACCAAGTTTTAGCAAACCCAGTTCTCATTCACACGAACAGGGCTTCTGCTGGCATCTGCTCAACGTGGTGCGCCTTCAGCCAGGTTTGCTGTTGCAAGTGCGGTGTGAGGTTGAATGTGACGGATGTCGCACCTTTCCCGAACTTGACTGGGCAAGATCCTGCGAAGGTGGCAGTCTTGACAGGGCCCAAGCATGAGCAGGCCAATCTGCATGAACACCCAACGTTTCCCAGGCGAAACGTCTTGTTGAAACATGCCTACATCCGAAATTATTCTGCAACTCTGGCGGGCACCTAACTATGATGTGCCCGTGCGACCATGAGTTGCGGTGCAGGGGCTCTCCCAGAACTGCACAGCAGTGCTGCACGGCGTGCTCCCTCTAGAGCTTCCTGGAAGTCTTTGCCTTGGTGAAGCAACCGCGCGTCCTGGAAAAATGCCGAATTGGGCTTGCGGGCGCCACAAAGCAAACTCCCCAGCCCGCTCTACCCAAACTGCCAGTCCGCAACACAAACCGCTACGCGCATGTTCGTGTCCAAGCGTCTCTCCAGGCGAAGTGTCGCCAAAAGGCTCTGAGCTTTGGCCTGACCTGGGCAGAGCAGTCACGCAAAGGCACACCGCGGCGCACAAAAGACATGTAGCAGGGATGCACGGATTGTGCTGAACGCATGCAATTTAATCTGTGTGCTCATGCTTGCCATCCGTAGTTGCTAGGATATGCTATGTTGCACTCTCTGGGACGCGCCACAGTGCGCAAAGTCAAGCTCCATGGCTGCCCAGGCACTCGAGGTCCGATTGGCCGCTTCGAAGCAACGAAGTGCCTCCTCAGGGGAAGAAATGGTCCACCTCTCGGCGAAGCATTCTGGGGTCCAACCAACTAGCATCGGCAAATGTGGGATGTTCAATTGTTGGACCCCAAAGACAGGACGTGGCAATGTATGGCTGCTCTAGCAGGCAACCGCGACTGTGACCACTGGTTGGTCAAAAACACTCAACAACATCTAGTTTACATTTCTGATGTCTTACTTTGAGGAAGTCCAATAAGCCAGGTAACGTGCATGCCTCAAAACCAGCATCTGCTCGCGCTGCCCCCTTTCTCACAAAGCTCCAGTCGCGCACTATCATCTTGTTCACAAACTATCATGCGGCTCAGTCGTTCAACTCAATGGGCTCACCTAAGATCAAAGCAACGCGTTTCCGATTCCCTCCGCTTGGGCTAATTTAGGCCAATGAACCATCACGCATTTTCGGGGATATCTAAATAACTTCGGACTCAAGCAGGGCTTGGGGGCAACGCTATGGCCTCAGCAAAGGTGGGGCCCACGCTCGCGGAACAAGGCTACCCTGTGTGCACAAGGCGAATCCTTGCCAGGTCGCATGGACACAGCAAAGCGCCTCATGGGAAAGTTGCTCTCCCGGGTCTTCATCCTGAGAAATATGACAAATTGGGGCTGAGGAAGCATGACCGCGCCAGAAAACATGGGCATCGGCATTCAGCATATCCATCTGTCCCAAGTCCTTGCAGTCTTGGCATACTTCTGCTCGGGCTTCAGGGCTCGACGGATCTTTCGGGTCTTCCTCGGCTGGAAGGGCAGCGGATTGATCAGGAGAACGATCAGTCACAGCTGGGACTTTGACAAGCAGCCCTGGCCTGGGTGGCCGAACAGCAAACCATATCAACATACCACAGCATGCTGCATGCGACTGCGTCAGAGCCGAAGCGTCTTGGGGCGCAGGTCAATCGGAACGTATTTCTTACCTTTGTACTGCTTGCGGGCCTGGCGCAGCATGCCCGAAGCAATAAATGAGCATAGCAACTTGTTATTGAAAATACCTGACAGCTATGCTCTGATCAAAGGCACTTGCAGTGAGGTACCCTGATGGACTACTATAATGCTGGCATTGCAAAAATGACCGTGCATGAGGCACTACTCGGCCAGCATGGTTGCACTTTTTTTTGCCAAGTGCTCGGCCCAGTCCAGGGCCCTCCCTTGACTCTCCATCATGAACGACGCCAAACGATTTTTCCGATCCAAACTATTAAACTAAAAACAGCTTGTAGCGGTAGCCGCCTCTGCCTTCTGCTTCTGGTTGTACACTGTGAGGATTCGTGCGATGGCCTGCCAGCAAGTGAGGATGAACGCCAAGGGGTGTGCAGACAATGGTAACTGTGCAGGGGTTGCTGGGTCTAACTGCCGAGAGAAAAAAGAGGCGCTGCATGCACAATATTGGGCACTGTGTGCTTATTGGCCACTGTGTGCTTTACCCACACCAAAAACGAGAATCACGCATGAACGCCTGGGAAATAAGAGTGCCTTCTTCAACCGTTGCATTTTGTAGCCGGTTCTCTGTGTGGCTTCCGGCAGCTTGTGGCTGTCAAACTCAAGCGCCAACAAGCGCGGTTCGGCCCCGGGTCTCTGCGCCTTGCGCACCGTCTTGATCTTCGCCAACTTCGAGGCTGCGCCTCCCGAGACCTTGGCCACCCGCAGCTGCGCCAGCTCAGCTTTCATGTCCTTGATGTGCCGCTGCCGGCAACGACGCAGCTGTTGCTTAAAGAAGTCAAACATGGTCCAACACAAGCAAAACAGTATTGAATATTGTAGTTTTCCGCCAACTTGCTCAGTTCCAAGAGGCAGCACTCAAGACATAACTCTCCATCCCAGCCATCCAGCCAGCGTCTTGCTACACAAGCGGGCGTAGTTGCACATTCAACCAAACGAGCAGGACAGCCTACCTTGTTGAGTTCATGCTGTGGCAATGTTGCACAGACCATCTGTGGCTAGGATCATGCGGACTGCAACACAACTTAGGAGCGGAGGTCCTCCAGCTCCTTCATCAGCTCCTAGCAACATAACAAGCAGCTGCTGTCAGCGGAATCGCGGACGGACAACACTCCCAAAAGAAATTAGTTGTGCAGTAGCTCTGTCCTTAGAAGTCTTGTTGCGCAGCTCGAATGCCTTGACCCGCACCATTGCGCCTTCTCACTGGTCCTACCTTTTACTTCACGCGACAGGGCTTGAGCCGAAGACCCCTTCAGCACACGGCCAATGTTCCTCGACATGCACCACAATTCATTATTCAACAAAGCATGTTTTAAGGACTGTTTCAAGGACATTTTGTTTCAGCTGAAGACTAGAAGAACCTGGCATTGGGTGCAGCCTGGTTCAGCACTCTCCATCTCTAAGCTGCGTTCACAGGCTTAACTCACGGGGCTGTTTGCCATTGCGTCATTGCGTTCAAGGCTAACCCGGGCGCTTCAAGTCCAGTAGCCCACGCCTCTGCAGCAGGCAGAGCTGCTTCAAGATCTTGCAGCTCGTGGTGGATGGAAGCAAGGATGTAAGAGCACTGCCCTTCCTCCTCGCAATGGCACAGGAACCATCAGGTACATCAACGCAACACCCAGTTTTGCGTGCAAGTTCACAGCCATAATATCACTTTCTCAGAGAGTTCTACCAACCCCACACGCACCACGTAACCCTAGATTGGGTGGTGCGCTGGTCTGTCCTCCGCCAGCCCTTCTTGGGCAAAGGCTGCTGATAAGCGCTTTGCGCAGCTCACAGCGTCGGATGGGTTCCTCCTGGCCTGCGCAGACGGCACTGCCCTATGGGGGAGCTGGCACCCTGATAACGGGCGAAGTCTGACGCCAGGTAACATATGGGAGTTGGCTGTCTGTTCCTATCAGGGCTTCTGGCACGGTCGACTGCACCTAGCATTCCGCAAAACACTTCTTTGGCTTGCTTGAAGTGTGCGTGTGTGTATGGCAATTCTGCTTCGAGCAAAGGACGGTGCTACTCTCCTGCGCATTAGGACTTTCTGACAGCCAATGCTCAATGGCCCTATCAACGGCTGCGTCAGAACGCATTAGTTCCCGCAAAAACATGTTGGGTCATCAGCAGCAATGTGTTGGCCACACTCTGCTGGGGAGCACAACCATCAGCAGTGCCTAAAGGCTGCATGCTGTGATGGGACGCAGCCAGTCCCCCGCGTCAAAATGCCGACCCAACACATGGCACGCCTTACAAGCCGCAGCCAAAGCTTCCAAAGCTTGCAGCTTCATCGCGTTGAGTCCGAGCTCCTCGTAGATGGCGAGCGCCTCCTGTCCCCAAGGCCATCCATCACATATTCGCAGAAGCCGCTTGAACGACCCATGGCCCAAGCATGGACAATCGCACTTAACTATATGGCGTGTGTGTGTGTGTCATTTTGGAGGCAATTGCCCGTCAAGGAAGGAAGGAATGGTGAGATCGAAGATATTCAGGAGAAGACACACGTAATCATAGGTCAATGCCGCGGCTGAAAGGGAAGTCCAGCATCATTCCTCATGATATTCATTTAAAATCAATATCTATAATATGTTGTCTCTTCACGTTTTGCCCCAAACAGGACTCGCCTATTGCCAAGCCATAGCCTGGATGCCTGGCATGGCTCTCTGGGTGGACGGCCTTTTCTCCCTTCATTTGTCTCTCGTTGTCTCCCAGATGCCTGGCACGGCTCTCTGGGTGGACGGTTGCACTGCGCATGAGTCCGTGATAACCGGGAACAAATAAAGGGAGACAAAGCGAGACAAATGAATCACCCGTCCAGCCACAGAACGGGAGGCATGGGTGTCTGGCACGATCTGGCACGGCTCTCCAGGCGGGAGACAGTCCGCGCCCAGAAAGAGGCATCCGCTGCGTCTCCACGAGCATTGTTGTCGTCCGTCCATCCAGAGAGCCAAATGAACCCAGGCTGGGAGACAAAGGAGACAAATGAGTCCACCCAAATGAGTTCGTCCGACAAAGGGAGACAAATAAAACCCGTGCACCCAGAGAGCGTGCCAGGCATCCAGGCTGGGAAAGAAATGAAGGGAGACAAAGGGAGACAAAGGGAGACAAAGGGAGACAAATGAACCCGTCCGCCCAGAAAGCCGTGCGAGGCATCAGGCATCCAAGACAAAAGCAGACAAATGAACCCATCCACCCAGAAAGTCTACGCAAGACAAATCAGGGGAGAAAAGGGAGACAACTGAACCCATCCACCCAGAGAGCCGTGCCAGGCATCCAGGCTGGGAGACAACGGGAGGGAGACAAAGGGAGACAAATGAACCGTTTGTTTTTGGCGTGTGACCGCATGAGTGTGTTCCACGTGAGCACATGTTTGTGTTCCAGGTGAAAGCATGCGATTGTTCTGATAAAACACATGTGCGATCTGGTCAAAATTCTTAGTAAGGGAGCTTAGCCTACAGAGGCCGCCGTCGCAGTGACTTTGTGCAGTTTTTCATTCATAGAAAGCGGAGTCCTGCAAATGCCAATGGATTGCCCGCTCCCACTGGAGGCGCTAGGATGGCGCTTGATTTGCGCTAGGGTCTTCAGTGTTCTTGGTTTCCAAGAGTTGGCGCTGCGATGGGCTGTGTGTGGCTTTCAAGGGTGTAATGTTGCCGTTCTTACTTAGTACTTGAAGCCAGCCCGCACGTTTACCTTCAGCTTACATGGCCTTAATTTGTCAAATCCACACAGATGGTCGCAGGAACGCATACGTGTGTTCCACGTGTATACATTTGTGTGTTTACGTGTGCACACACACATGTGCGTTCCAACTGGACACGTGTTTGTGTTCCAGGAACACATGTTTGTTATCAGACGAACACGCGTGTGTGTGTGTGTGTGTGTGTGCGTGTTCCGTCTCTGCAAAAATATATATATGTGTGTGTGTGTGTTTGCGTGTGCACATGTGTTCGTGTACACATACGCGTGTTCCCAGTGTACACATTTGTGTGTTCACGTGTGCGCACATGTGTGTTCGAACTGGACACGTGTATGTGTTCCAGGAGAACACATGTTTGTTCTCAGATGAACAGGTGTCTGCTCCGCATGCACGTGTTCAGGTGTGCACACATGTGCGTTCCAACTGGACACGTGTTTGTGTTCCAGGAGATGTTATTGGATGAACGTGTGTGTGGGTCCCGCGTGCACATGTGTGTTCATTTGTACACATATTTGTGTTCCACGCGGTTCCACGCGTACACATTTGTGTGTTCACGTGTGCAGACATATGTGTTCCAATTGGACACGTGTTTGTGTTTCAGGTGAGTACATGTTTGTTTCAGATGAACGCACGTGAGCGTGTGTTTCCGCTGCACATGTATATATATATATATGTGTGTGTGTGTCCACGGGAACACATATGCGTGTCCCACGTGTACACAGACGTGTGTTCACTAGACACGTGTTTGTGTTCCAGGAGAACGCGTGCTTGCTATGATATGAATACTCGTGTGTGTGTCTGTGTTTCTGCGTGCGCGTACATGTGTGTGTTCATGCGCGCAGTACACATGCGTGTGCACATGTGCGTGTTCACGCGTGCACATGTGTGTCTCCCACGTGTGCACATATGTGTGTTTTCACGTGTGCACACATGTGTGTTCTTATCAAACACGTGCATGCGTTCCAGGTGAACACATGTTTGTTTTCAGACGAACACTCGTGTGTGTTTCACGTGTACACATATGTGTGTTCACGTGTGTTCCAATTGGACACGTGCTTGCGTTCCAGGAGAACACACGGTTGTTCTCGGATGAGCACACTGGTGCGGGTGCACATTTATGTGAGTGTTCACGTGTGCACAGATTTAATATGTGTGTTCACATGTACACATATGTGTGTTCCACGTGTACGCACATGTATGTTCCACTTGGACACGTGTTTGTGTTCCAGGTGGACAGGTGTGTGTTCCACGTGAACACGTTACCATGTGCTAGGTGAACATTTTTGCATCTGACGACATATTTGCTCTCCGGGTGTGCACATGTGTGTGCTCCAGAATCCAGAAAACGCCTGATTGTTTTCGAGGTGCGCGCGTGTGTAGGTGAGCATTTATGTTTGCTCACGCGTGCACATATGTGTGCTCCACGTGTGCACACATGTGTGCTTTAATCGCACACGCGGTGTTCCAGTGGTATACATATGTGTGTCCCACATGTACACACATGTGCCCCTTAAACGCACTTGTTAGTGTTCCATGTGAACACACGTGTGTTCCACGTGTACGCACATGTGACATGTGTGTTCTAGGTGTACGCTTGTGTGTGCTTTACAAGAAGCGCCCGTTTGTTTGTTTTCCAGCTCAACACATGTATGCGTGCGCCGCAGGTAACTGTGCATGTGTGTGCTCACGGGCGCGCATTCGCGTGTACTGACGCGCATGCGTGTCTGAACGACCGCGCGCTTGCGCAGCCACACTTGCGTTCACGCGCGCGCTCGCCCGCTATCGCACGCGCTTGCCCAACCTCAGTTCCCGCGAGGTGCTGAAGCGCGAAGCACGCCAGCAACACACGTGCAGCAACGCAACGCGTGCCGGGTTCACGACTGCATCATTTTGATTCATCCGTGTTGAAGCTCAGAAAGCCACAAGCTGTTGGCATGTTTGTGCTTGCCCGTCAGTGCTCAACTGTTTGGGGCCTCTGCTGGTGTAATATGTTCACAAATTCTATTCCATCTGGGTTCATATGATAGGAGAGGGAATTAGAATGAAGAATCCAGATGACTTATTAGTCTGTTCCTTGTCGCTTAATTTTCTTTCTTGTGATCTGCTTCCATACTATCTTTGCATTTCCTATCTGATCATGTCCCTTTCATCATTATCTAGATGCCTCTAGTCCTTCTCCCTCCAACGTGGTGATGCATCACATAGCATAAAAGCAGCCAATGAATCGGGGAGAGCAGCCCTTGACCACTTGCGCAAGTCAGGCTGATTAGGAAAAACGATAACTTTCTTCGTAAACTAAGGCACGACTCGGCAACCAGGCAGCATGGTGTTTCTGGCGCAACTCTGTCACTAAGAAACTTTGGGAAACAAGCGCCTGATAAAACACACAAAGCTTAACTAACCCTAAACTAACCATAAATGCACCCTAAGTAGACCCTAAACCAATTCTAAACCAACCCCAAACCAACCCTGAACCACCACAACCCAACCACGGGGGGGGGGGGGGAACTTGTCTGACCCATGACCATTGGGGGGGGGGGTGGCAACGCTGTACCCTATATAGCCTTCACATCGCCGACAGAATGCACGTCAAAGAAAGGGTCAATGGTGGTCAGTTCGCTTGAACTGTTCTTGATTGCCATTAATCCAGCTTGGCAACCCACCACATGGCTCGGCTGTGACCCGCTCAACTCCAAGGCCAAATCGACGCAGCAGTAGCTCTTGATATTCTGACTGGCCCCATTTTGGCGAGAAATTCTTATGACAAGTTGTGGAACGACAGGGTTGGTTTATGTTGATGTAGGATTGGTTTAGGGTTGGCTTACGTTTAGGGTTTATGGTTCAGGGTTTGGTTTCGGGTGTATTTAGGGTTGGTTTATGTTGATTAGGATTGGTTGTTGGTTTAGGTTTAGAGGTTTACGGAATAGGGTTTGGTGGTTGGTTGCGGGTTGGCTTGTCCTGGGGGTGGTGTCGGGGTCAGGGGGTCGGGGTGGGGTGGGACTGTAGGTGCCAGGATGCGGAGGCTCGGGGTCGGGGGGGGGGCCATACCATCGGGGGGGTAGCTTTTCGTCGAGGTTTTGTTGATGGTGACGGCTCCTGCGCTGCAGCAGCCGCTCCCTCTGTCTCACCACAGGCCACACGGGCCCGGGCCACCCAGCAAGAGACCTGCGCCTGGCGACAAAGGACTGTCGAGGCGTGCTTCCCTTTGCCTTTCTCATGCTCGAAATGAAATCGGCATTTGGCATCAAACAATCATCATAAATCACAACTCAGCCATCAAAGCAGTGGGGCCCTGATCCATGACATGCCCCGAGCAAATCGGCTAGTCACTGGCTAGTCCCAAACAGGGTCGGGGTTGCCAAATGCATGCTGGAGCCCGTGTCCCTCACCGCGGCCGAGGCCTCTCTCTCTCTCACGCACTGGCCTCCAAAGGCCGGTCCGTGAGCTTGCGGGCGGTGGTGAGGGCTTCCAGGGAGAAAGCCAAAGCCTGGTCTGTAGAGAGGCCCCTTTCTGGCAGCATTTCAATCTCTCTTGCGCACGAACAAAGCCTGCGCTTGGGCTCGTTGGAAGGAGAGCAGTTGCTCAAACTAGAATCCCTGTTGGATGAACACACTCCATGTACTACACAGGCTCTGCAACAGAACGCGTGACTTCCACTGCTTTGTGTATGTGTCGGCACAGAAGCCTTCCTGGCTAATCTTTTTGAGTCTTTTTGAACAAGTGAGGCCTGGAACCTCTTCGGGAGGCAGAAGCCACTCTCGTTGCAACAATTTGACGAGTGCGAGCATGGCTATCACGCGGGCCTTCTGAGCTCAGGTTTTTGGCACACACATCTGTTTCTCCCGCCTGGCGCCCTGCGCCTTGCATGAGCGCCGCCTCTGTGGCAGTGCAAACCACCTGGACCTCTTGGTTGCGGTCACCCAGTTGCCGCAGCAGCCTGATGCCAAACCCGCAGCTTTGTGGGTGCCGGCAAATGGTTGAAAAAATTGGAACAACTGAACATGAGCCTATCGAGCCTATGAGGTTCCCTGTCAAGATTCTTAAGCTCTGGAGTACGCACCCTACATCGCCCTCAGCAAACCTAAGAAAGATTGCAAAAAGAGTGCAGCAAAGTCCCGCCTTAAAGCCTCCGCAGCACGATTCAGGGCCTCGTCCACATTCCGCCGGGCCAACTGCGCCTGCACAAGCCGCCATTGCTGATGGCACCCGCTTCGCAGTTTGTGAGTACATGCTCATGGAGGATAGCATGACCGTCTCTGACATGCCTGTACTTAGATTCTTGCCCAAAGGCCAAGAATTGGTGGTGTCTCAATTTCCCCGCCTTGGCCATAGCATGGAGTGCCTGCGCCTGGCCAGCATGGTGCCCCAGCTCCCGAAAGAGCTTCAGCGCATGGTAGGCCGCCTGGCCGTCCGCCCGCCCAACACAGCAATCCCTACACCCAGAACTGAACCCGAAACCTGACCCCTAAACCCAAACTACATCAACCCTGAGCCAAAACTCCAAAACTATTCATAAGCCCTGAACTACACCCAGTGCCCAAAAGCCCCGAACACTACACCCTGAAACTAGTGCCCGAAACCTAAACATAAAACACAACTCCAAATCCTAAGCATGAACCCTGAACCTTAACCGGAGCTAAATCCTTAATCTAAGCCCCAAACCCGGTTGCGGGACATTGAGTCGGTGTGCAAATGGGAACTGCTGGTACAAGTTTACAGCGCCTATGCAGAAAGGGAGGATATTCTTGTGCAGGGCACTTC